CCTTCGAATACCCCCCCCCCCCCCCACCGAAACGAAAATCTCGAGGTTTATTTTGACCGAATCATTCAATCTATCAAGTGTCCCAGGCCGTTCTTTGCAACCCCTGCAATCCTCTAGCGGCTTTGTCCCAATTGCAGAATCCGTAAGCATAACCACAAAGACCATGAATATTTTCATCAAACGCTGTGGTTACTCTCGTCGATGACACAAATCTAATTTGGTACTACGATGATCAGATTGGCCATTCAGACTGGCATAGTCGGTATTGTCAATCCACCGTAAGCAGGGCAGACTTATTCATTTTTGGTCAGCTTTAATGGCTGGGAACCCCTAGGCTCTTTCAAGCAGGTCGCAGAGAATGCAAAAGACAGCATTATACCTGCAGTGGTCCAGGGTTGCTCCGAGAGTCCAAGCTGCAACTAAAATCGGTCCAGATCAGGAAGATGTTCGCAACTTCCACGTGTCTCTGTATTATATTGTAGCTCAATATCCCAACTTATGCTACTATCCTCTTCTTCTGCCAATTTCTTCTTCTGCAGTGAGATAACGGTGTAAAGTTCTGACCGATTCCAGCAAAGGTAGGGGAATCCATTCACCCACAGGCTCAAATCTGACGCAATGAGCCTGGTTCGACGGAGCGGCCAAAATCCAAGACGAGTTAGACAGCGGCGGAGGAGTTGCTTCAAAAATGCTCACCAAAGAACACCTCAATTGCAATTGTCGGAGGCAGGATCTCTGGGCTTGCAACGGGGTTGATGCCGAACGGATTGGCTTTCAAAGTCATGGCTCCAAATCATTATGGCCTTGGTTCCTGCCTTTGACAGGTCTCTACTTCTCTTTTCTTCTTGGCTGCCTCGGCCATCTCTGCCACTTCAAGTGTTGATTATGGCAAACTATGTAGGGTCAATGGCATGAACTACTATAGTGGTGGTGCGGTCCCGACCATGGTCATCTCGAATTTCGATTCAGTGCAAGGACAAAGAGCGTTGCGGTGCCATCAAGGCTCTACTATACGCCATCATCAACAAAGCTACTTGCAGGGGTACGTTCAACGATGCAGTCCGACTTGATTCAAATTTGGATTCACAATATGCAGTTACGTTTCGGAGTGAAAGATACTATTGATTTGAAGGGACTACAGACTAGCGGCGGCAATCAGGCCTTTACGATTTGTATCCTCTGCGAAACTCTACCGACCCCGCGCTCCAAAGACTCATAGATGCGGGTGGCCATGTGCAATTTGCGAATGGAGATAATCCCACGGCTGATTGGGTTGACTTCCACGGTCCTTTCAATCTTCGAGTAAGTTCAACCATTGGAATCGGTGCTGTAGAAATGAAGTCATCGTCGTCTTAGGGGGATGGCTATCAAAGCCCCGGTGGTTCTTCATCAGGACCTAGTGCCGGTATTGCATCTTACGATTGGCTGGACATTGCCGTGAGAACTGACACAGGGCCAATGATGTATCCTGCGTGAGTCCAAGCGCAATTAGTTGTATTCTAGGCTAATTGAGGGTCAGATTAGGAGTTCTATGTATGAAGTTGCAATGTCAAATTGTTACTGGTGCGAAAGATCTCGTGGTCCACCGGGGCCCTCTTCCAACCCGTTTCTCCTAGGTGCGTCAGGGCGCCAGCGCCAGAATGAGCGCATACAAGATGAACTTTGATCACCATTCTCGAATATGTCCGCCGCATGCTGTGAGATGTCAGTTGGATATTATCTTGCCGCATCATTTGGCTTTCCTACCTTTCCCAGGACCGGCAGGAATTTTGCACCATGACCACTACCACCTGTGCAAACGAAGACAGATCTCTCTGCGTAAGTTGGTACATGATCAATCTGGTTGAAATTCAGATCAGTAGCGATTTCGGGGATAAGAATAGACTCGATGCTCACCACAGATGAATTGTCCAACGAGTCAGTGTACCAACATAGCTTGGTAGAGAAAAGGGGCGTATTCTCAAACTCAGGCAAGAAGATAGACACAAACTGCTTGATCGCATACAAGGCAGGCTCTGGGATTATTGAGCACTCCTTCGCTGGAAGAGGCACCGACCATTGACCGTCCTGGGTGAATGGAGAATCTTGCGGTGCTGGCTGGAAATTGGTCCACTGGAAACAACGCAGTCAGCAGATATCGAGAAGAATTAACTCACCGTACCTACCTTGATTCCACGATATCCAATTTTTAAAAGGCCCTCTGGAGTTCTTGGTAGAACGTAAATGCTCCCTGTGTCTTTTCCAGAAGTGTCTCGTGGTGTGCTCTTCCAGGTCATCACGGGAAATCGTTCCGGTGAGTACTTGTCCCATAGCTCAGAGTTGCTCTTGTCTATCTTAAAGGTTCCGAGACTACCAGCTGAAGACTCGAGATGATAGCTTAATTCGGGGAGAATTTGCGTCGAAAATGATCCAGCTTCGAGTTTGTGAGTAAAAAAAAAGGGGAATGGGGATAGGGAAGATTCTCATGACTTACCAGCCACAACAACGGCATCCGCATCATGAATAACACCATCCTTGGTCTTTAGTCCTGTAACTTTATCTTTAGTCGGCTCGCGGTCGCTTTTCACTTTGACCAAGTAATCAACAGCTCCCTGCCGTGGCCCGAGATGAAACTTCACGCCCTTGTTGGCTGCCACTTTTTGATACTGCGCACATGCATTGCTGCACCTCACGAATCCCGCCAGAGAGTCAAGTACCGCCTCATAAGTGCTTTCGGACTCCGGAATATGGAAATTGAGTATCTTATCTTTCCAACCCAGCTTCTCAGCCCGTTTGCAGTCTGCGGGGTCACTCTTGACAAACTGTGTATCCCGTAGACCAGCACGCTGCATGTTGGCTAGAGTTTCCTTCTCTAGGGCGTCCAATTGGTCGGACGGCTGTATACGAAGCATTCTGCTATTAACAAACAGTCCGACATTTCTGTCGTCGTCTTGTTCCGTTGATTCGCGCTTTTCGTCCTCCGAAACCCACGCCTTTCGGCTTTCCAGGGCGAGACGCTGGTAGTGAATCTCTTTTCCATATGATGCGCGGAACTGATGTTGTTTGGTTAAGCATGGAAATGGGTCTGTGACAGTGGAAGTGCCTTGCAATTTTGTTGTGATCGGCGGATGCAGCTTGCACATCATCAGCTGTGGGGTCGTATCCATTTTCATCGTACTGACTTCGATCAAAGACGGTCACTTCATAGTCTGTGGGCCATGAGATATTGGTAATCTGACTTCAGGCAGATGCCTTACTTACTTCTATCTCGCAGGGCAATCGCCAGTGAAAAGCCAAATATGCCGGCTTCCATCCAGGGGTTGTTAGCACTCTCCAAAGACCGTACACCCGGATGTTTCTCACACCTCCAATAACAGCGACTGACTTGGGATCCTTCATTCTGGGCTCTGCTATCTTTGGATCTGGGGTTGTCGTGACTCAGTGAACGTAGTACAACTTGGGGGGGCTTGAAGGTCCCCGCCATAAGGCCAAGAGCTTCAAGGCTCATGAGGTCCTCACGATAGTGCACCTTGATTAGCGAAATTGACCCTTTGAATCATGTCAGAGGGGTCTAATAACATCCGTGGATGTTTTTTCGTTTCTATGTGGTATCTCTGCGTCGTGATCGGTAGTATACTTATGCCCCTAGATGGCGGAGTGGATATATTCTCGACCTTCGATAAACATCATCCATACACACGTCCAACGATGCTTATTATGTGTTGCCCTTGTTTTTTTTTTCCTTTAAGCTACCGCAATAAAAATTATCCTAACTTTCAATTATATCAACCTTGGATTGGAGAAATTGGTCAACACTGGAAGACGATGTGTGTAGATCAGCTCTTGATGTAGATCTTTTGTGAATCGTGATTCACCAACACGCAACCGCCCGGATGGTCTAGTGGTATGTTCCATGATTGATATGCTGTCCTGCGAATCTCAACTAATTCTTAATTAGGTATGATTCGCGCTTCGGGTGAACCTGTGCGAGGTCCCGCGTTCAAATCGCGGTTCGGGCCTTTCTTAACTTTTTTTTTTGAATCCTCCAGGATTTCCAATGTGCAGAATGTCCCTTTCTGTTATACCCAAACTAAGAGGTAACCCCCCAAAGTGGATATCGGCTGCTTGCCGAAATGAAGGAGCCGGAACTCAGCCTGAAGTGACAACGCTGGATAGCTGCTGGCTCCGGCGGGTCCTGTAAACCTCAGATATTGGAACTGAGAGGTATCTAGAATGTGCCCTCTATCATAGTGAAGGAAATGGGAACCTTCTAAATTATTCATCAATCTGAATGTTGAATTCCACCTGATCTCAGCGCAAAGGTCAACCAGAGAAGGGTTCGACCAGACTTACCATTTGCCTTGACACCAACGTTGTTCTCACTATTATGGAATTAGGAGCCAAAGTGAGATCCTTTGCTACTTCTCACCGTGGGGCCAGGAAATGCCAGCCTGATAATGGTCTACGTCAAGGAAGTCAATAATATGGTAGCTGTAGTAGTAGTAGTAGATTTAATTAACGTCCGGCAGGGAGCAAGCTTTCGCTTGCTCCCGCGACCTCCCATGGGGTATTGGGACGTGCAGTGCTATGGTTTCTATAATACAAAGATCTTTCTCCACAGATTGCAGTTCATGCATTCGTAAATGCGAGGGCTGAGTAGCCAGTTGATGACGGCTGTCTCCGACGTGTGAGCCGGCCATCATGGGGATGAGGGTCCCGGGGGGTCCCGGGTGTTACGGACC